TAGTTTCTAATTTCTAGTTTCTAGTATCTACTTTCTGGTTTCTAGTTTCTAGTTTCTTGTTTTCAGTTTTTAGTTTCGAGTTTTGAGTTTCGAATTTCGAGTTTCGAGCTTCGAGTTCGAGTTTCGAGTTTCCAGTTTCGAGTTTTTATTTGTATTATTTGTTTTATTCAACAACAAAGCACGAGATATAAAAAAAAAATTATAATTTACTATTTAGTTTTAACCCACCTAACCTGAGTAGGTTGTTTTAATTGTTTGTCCCATTATAAACATATTAATGATGATAAATCAGGAGTCCCAATGTAGTTTCTAATTAGCAACTTCTGGTTTAAAGTTTACAGTTTCTAGTGTCTTCTACTAGGGTCAACTGTCTAATATAATTTTCTGTATTTTCTAGTCTCGATGTACAAGTTATATATGAAAATGGGTTGATCATATCAAGGTACAAATGATATAAAGATATGGATAATATTTCCCGTCTCGTTGGTACTCCGGGAATACCCGGAGTCCCGTTTCTACTCCGTTGGTCCACGAGGTACCCGGAGTCTGTAATCCCGGAGGAAGATGTTGTTTATACTCCGGTATACCTCGGCCTCCGCTACTAATCTCAGTATAAGTCATACACTCTTACCAAGGTGTTATCGTTATTGTATTACCTATACAGCTAGTGAGCCACGTGAAAACTGTGAATTATATTTAGAACCCCTGTTGCTGGTTGTTTCTACCAATAAGAATTACAAGGAATTGATAAAATCATTTGGCAACATATAAAATCATAAAAGCAGCTATTCACTACCCTCATACAAATATTTGTGCAACCTGATGGTGTCATTCTTTGATTTTTCAAAATTCGACTATTTGATCTGGTAGAATCGACTTTCTTTTTTACTTTTGAGTTTTAAAAAATATCTTTTGTGGAAAAATTTAGAAGCAAAACATCTTTTCTGATGTTAAAAAATTCTTGTTTATTTTGTACCGGCGAGCTTTCATTTTTTAGTGGGAACCCACAAAAAACAAGACTTTTTTTAAGTTACAACATAAACTAAATGTGTTCATGTGCTGAGCATCGTACATCGGTCAATTGAACTGAGTCTCTATGGGGAACCTTACATACAGTATGCATTGCATCTATATATACTTTTGTTGTCCTGATGTCTGTCTATCTGTCTGTCTATCTGCCTGTCTATCTGTCTGTCTATCTGTATGTTTGTAAACGTCAAAACTGCTGAACTATAATTGGGTAAAAAATTTTATGGGACCTCACATGACCCCAGGGAAGGTTTGTGGACCATCAAAAATTAAGAAAATTTAAAAATGAATATAAAGGACCGACTTTTAGAGCAAAAATTGAACGATAAACTTGTCTACGGGGAAATAGGGCCTACATTATATATTTACATTTTAGTTTCACATTTTATTAAAAAGAATTATACTAAAGACAATGTTTCAGGTCTCACAACGATCCTATTCATAAATGTATTTATATTCATTATATGCCTAGCTGAACTTTGATTTGGTATCCTGGCCTGCATCACTGTACAAGGCCTGGTCCACATTAATTTCAAAGTTTGTAGTTAGTGCATTGTCAAACCCACCCTATCCCGTTATCTACAAGACAGTGCAATCAAATTATGCAACAATCAGATGGTTCTCAACAGTTGTTGTGTTTTCATTAATCGGATTTTCTATGTACGTTATACAATGTACAATGTACATGGATTTTTGTTTAAAGAGTAACATCATTAATTCACACGGATCGAGGACTGTACAGTACAGTGATAACCAGAAAACAAGGGAATAGGAAGACGATATTATAGCAACACTTAATCACTTATAAAGTCGAAATGGGTCTGTTAACACTGCAGAATTGCTGTGTATCATGTGCATTGCACTATTTAAAGTCATAAATTGAGCCTAAAAGCCGTCTTCATATTCTGGAGTTTTCTATATTATCTATCTTGCTATCTATCCATCTATCTATCTATCTATCTATCTATCTATCTATCTATCTATCTATCTATCTATCTATCTATCTATCTATCTATCTATCTATCTATCTATCTTATCTATCTATCTATATATCTATCTATCTATCTATCTATCAATCTATCTATCTATCTAACAATGTGTATAGATATTATTTAAATCTAAAATAAATTTGATGATTAATTTGTTTTTGTTTTTGGTGCTTTTTAAATTGCGTAGAAAAAAAAGTAAAGAGATTTAATTTGTTGCTATAAGATTGATTAATAGTAGATAAAATATGTAATATATAAACATTAATGGATAAAGTTGAAATAAAATATTGATAGCTTATGCAAATATGCATGTTAGAAATTTATAAATATTTATGTGTATTTATGTGAAAGGCCAATTTCTCGGGGGCAGATAAATATGGTAGCTATAAATCTGTATTTAACATATCTATTTATATTATGTATATATATAATAAATCAATCTTCTGTTTTACCTCTATATTTATATTCATAAAAATGTTTATTGTCGATTTTGATGGTTATTATATCGTTAGAACTGACGAGGGTCAACCCAGACCGAAATATATTTCAATCAAATGTGGAACTAACATCTAATTGTTTTACATTATAGAGGTTTGGTCCATCACCATCACCGAACTTTAAATTTATAGTCATGTATTTGTAATCTCTGTTTGTCTCTTTGTTGGATTTGATGTCCGAGCATAACTCATGAAACCCAGAACCGATTTGCCTCAAATAATAATTCTTGAACTTGATTGAATCTGTTTTAAAAAAGAGTTTTTTATGTCCAATTCTTTAAAAGGTTTTAAATACCCCTCCTCAAACAAGCCATTCCCCCCCCCCCCCCCCCCCCCCCCCCACTCCTTACTCAAATAGTCATAAAGTTGT